GGGAGCGCTTAGATAGGATCCCATGNAAAAACGATTATATTATACAACTGACAAAATAAGCACCAATTCACTAACAAGACTCAATTTTGTAATAATTATCACTTTGATCCGGTTATAAATAAATTTAAATATCGCAACCGATCGTAAATAAAATGATAAACTACAACACAAATAAAAATTAAGAAAAGCGCTCTAAACTATTTCACTTTGTGAATTATTCATCCGGTGAATCTAAACATCGCAGCACAACTGTTGTTTTAGCTTGCTTTTAGACATAAATATTCTTTATATACTTTTAAATCAAGGGGAGACCTATTTACCAGCATACAACACCTTGTGTGTTGAAGCAGGGATATGCAAAGAATCTCAATTTTTTCAAATTTTAATTATTTTCAGTAATGTCTCCCCTTGCTCCAAACCACATAACTAGAATAATAGGACTAATCGATCAATTCGATCTATCGGTCGGGCTATTTGTCGTGCTTGGATTGTTGGCTTACGAAATTGCATGGATTTTAACGAGCAAGCTAAATGAAATATTTACATGATTTAATATGCTTAAAACATTGTAGTGATTCTATTTAATTTTAATAATGATTAATAGAATTATGTATTATTAAATTATTTTTGTTAATTTGAATATAAAAAATTGCTTTTGGTCCGGTGAAATCCGGTGGCTTACTGAAGCCGTAGGTTGGCTTAGTAGGATTGAACTATAGTCACCCTTTTTTTTACACTATTCGATCATGTTAAAAATTGGTTTGCTTATGAAATAAACGGCCTAAATAAATCAAAATTGTTATTTGAACAACTATCTTCATTATATTCAATGAATATTTTACATTCTGCTTGTGCTCATAAGAAACTGGCTGCTGAAATCATACGTTGGCTTACAGCAGTGGCTTACAGGATTTCATAGAACTCTTACGATAGCACTTTTTTGTACATATAATGCTTTAAATAAATCAATATATTCATATCACAATTATTTTTGTCAGTATAGATATAGAAATTGCTTATGTCAGGTGAAAAACAGTGGCTTACTGAAGCCGTAGGTTGGTTTAATCGGATTTTTTCTCATGTATACAATACTATGAGATAAATTAATCAAACAATCAGTCAGTCGGTCGGTCGGTCAGCCAGCAAGCCAGCCAGCCAGTCTGTCAGCCAATCAATCAACCAACCGATCAATCAACCGATCGATCAATCAACTAAATTGAATGAACCAAATAAACAAAAATATAAACAAAAATTA